GACCCCGCCGCTTGGAAGCATCTTACCTTTGTAGCAGCTGGAGCCAGCCTAACCAGTAATGGTAAGAGCTATTAGAAGAAGAAGGAGAGTTCACTCATGAAATTGCGTCAAATTCTATTATTTTGAGAGTTATTTAGAGAATTTGTGATAAAACATTTTTAACCAATTTTTTTTCGGAGCTATTTTTTATTATTATCATCCATTTTATATTACACTTTATTTTTGTTATTTTTTTGGTAATACTTGGCTAACTTTTAATTCAATTTGGCCATAAAACATTTAAATCTTTTTATTTTGATTGAAGTTTACTATATTGTTCATCATAATGGTAGCTAAGAAATGCATTCTTCTGGTTGACAAAACCTTTATGGAATTGTCGCGAAGTCAACACAGGAACGAAAAACTGCATCTATATAATTGAAATTTGCTCGGTTTTGTTATATAGCTGCGAGACATGGTAATGAGAGTGAAGGATATTAAGAAGCTATCTGCCTTTGACCACTCTTGCGTACATTTTACGGGTTCATCGAGTGGATAAAGTCTCAAATGATCGCATCCACCTTCGTTCAAATACCACTTGCATTAACAGTATCATCACAGAATGCCGCATTCATATTATTCGCTATCCACCACAAGAGTTCATACATACTTCGTTGCTAAACTCTATGATGGGTGATGTTAAAATCGAGGTGGGCCAATCAAGACCTGGACTGACTGATACAGGAAAGATTTTGAACCCTTCTTAGAGGACCCTTCTTCTTCTAACAGCTCTCAACATTACTGATTAGGCTGGCTTCGTTGGCTACAAGAATAAGACGTCGCCAAGCTGCTCGGTCCGAAGCCATCGCTAATAGTAATAGAAGCCATTCCGCTTTTTCCATCGTCCAAGTCCATATATCGCTGGTCCCCCTATATGTTCAAAATCTTTTCTGACTGTACCAGTCCGAGGCATGATTGTCCCTCCTCTCTTTTGACGCTAACCATCACAAGGTTTAGTGAAATATATGTCAATTTTTGTAATGGACAACGGAGAATGTGCCCTCACTAGCTAAGATGACGCTCTGTGACAACATTATTAATGTTTGAGGTGATATTTGAGCGAAAATGGATACAATCATGTGCGATTTTATCCGTTCGACGGATCCGTAAAATGTATCTTAGACAAAGGATGATATCTTCCACTCTCATTGACCATGTTTCGCGGCCTTATAGCAAGATCGAGCGAATTACAGCTATATGGACGCGAATTTTCATTGATTCTGAGTCCAATTTCCGTTGCCAATTAAGACCTGGATTGATTGATACAGGAAAGATTTTGAACGTATAGGGGGACCAGCGATAGTAGATAAAAGAATGGCTTCTATTACTATTACTATCAACGATGGCACCAGACTGAGAGCTATTAGAAGAAAAAGAATACCATTCGTCAAAAAATAGTGACCAGATCTTTCTAATAACAACCTAGAAAACGTTGATTTTAGAATAGAATAACTTCATGAAACACTCAATCAAATATCTATTATCGCTTAACTCATCAAAAATCAAATCAGAATTCTGATCACTGATATTTACAATTAATATCAATAAGATGTTTCGAATGGAATAGACTCTCTCAACTCTTTTTTAGCTTTAAATATATTCGAAATATGGGTATAAAATTGTTAGTTTTATGCGGATTATAGCTGGAACCATAGCAATATTTTGCCTAATAAAAGTTGCCAATTTAAATGGTGCGATAGGAACTGCTATCTAGTATAGAGATTTTCTAACGACGATTGACCAGCTAATCAACCTGGTTGAAATGTTGGTTGTCTGAGGAGTTTCATGCGATTAGATCGATGTCGGAGGTATGTACGGCTAGTAAAAAGTTTAGGAAAAGTGAAAAAGGCCTCCTCCGTTAGGTGCTCCAGATCCCAATGCCATATTTGACAACCATAGACTGTGGCAGCATCTTGACTTGGCTAAGCACGTATTCCATTCTCTCGTTGGGGTTCATAGAAAATCTAACTTTATCACGGTCATTTGTGTACAAAGTAGCGTCGTATACATTGATGATCGATACATCGCTGTACCGGGGATAGTTCATACTGTCGCTAACTGGCTTCTGCTCAATCACAGTGGACTAACCTTTTTCAGATATGCTGGTCTACGCCACTTTGCCTTGAGTATTCTGTCCCCCAGCCAAATTTAATAACTGCTTGAGATTCGAAATGGAAGACGGACTTCGGACAAGCAGACGATATCTGCATAATATCTGGACACTGTGGACACTGAGTCATAATATCCATATGCGTTCTGATGTTCCACGCTAATGCGGCCAACATATCGCTTCGGAGAGCAGATTGCCGACGTATGTAGATCACAGTTATCCTGGCTCGAGAGTTCATTCTATTCTCAACTTTTGGGATCGTTTTTCTATGCAAGGATTACATACTTATCGCAAACCTGGGTAGGATTCGAGAAACAGCACACGGATGGGCCAAGATGACCAGATCCTTCCATCATAGTCATCTGAGGATAAAGGTGAGACTCCAACAATCACCTGGATTTTTGAGTTCATGGTAGGTCTATCAAAGGCAAAGAATTAACAAAAGAGAAAAAAAATTTACCATACTTCAGTAATAATGGCACGAAATGTTCATAAGTTTCGAGAAATTACTAGAAAAAATTTATGGATAAATACTACAAAAATCGAATATGTTTATACCAATCCAATATCTTCAAAATCGACCGACATTCAATGCAGGGCAGCAGGGTTAAGAGTCGAGATAGCTCTACTTGTATGCCAGGAACCTAATCATCAGATGAAGGAACGCCAGCTTTCAAGTATCCTGGCTCCGCGCTTATGCATATGGCTAGGCAATGAATGGAATTTCACTTTCAATAGCTGCAGCTAAACATTTTCTTCTGACTGGTCAAATTTCTGTGGGATCGTCGTGAAGCAGCATCAAAATAGTCCTATTGTGTGACTACGAAATTTTGCCAATGTGAGTGTAAAATATCAAAAAGCCATAAATATTTTGGCCATTCCAGCCTATTGTTTTTTATGTTTTACGGGAATATCCCCCAGATCGGATAGTTTCTATACGATTGCGTTCATCTTCTGCATTAATAATATCACCAGACAATATTTACGCTAGATAGGCCATATTCTTCCTGCAATGGAATTAACACATATGTCGCGACATGCCAAACCTAATCCTAGCAAAGAGATGGATTGGCATAGCCAAGGAAGGTTTGTTGGGGAAAGCTGATTCAGTGGTCATGGGTTTTGAGGAGTAAAAGATAGATAAAGACTACAGGATAAATTCAACATTTTAATAGTCAGTGGAACTATCCAAGCTTGAAATGGTTGTTAGATTATTGATATCGACCATCGATAGCAAGTTTCTATATATCTAATTTAAATATTGAATATTGAAAAGAATGTTTTATTACTGTATTTCTGATCGTTCCGGTTTGCCTAAAGCATTACTCAAGAAATTGGGAAGCTTGATTGTTAGGTTAATTTTTTGTGTGCTTGTGGTATTGTTGGTTAATTAGTATGCAGTTTAAAGTATATTAGTTAAATGGGGAGAAAACGTTGATAAAATAAATAATTGTTCTACATTAATTTCTTAATCGTTTCAGGCAACGTGAAGCGTGTCGATCTTGCTTAATTTTTATGCTCTTATCGACAGTTAATTGAAATAACCCCTTAGGCTTTCGTTGAATGCGCAAGCTAACAAAACGTTTGAGTCCTTTATAAAAATGCCATTATGGCTCATTTTTTCGTATTTATGGTAATTCTTTTTCTCACTTTTAATGACGTTTTTTGACAGGAATTAATTTCATGATAAATTAATGTGTATCACTCTCATTGTTGCTCGTGAAAAGTATGAAAATAAAAGGCATAGTTTGTAAATTAATGGTTAACAACAATTGTGAATTGTTTAAGTGTTATCACGATACGAGTAATAATTCTTCGCTAGTTACGAATAAAACTGAAAGACTGAGTTTTGAGACGATTAAATGATAATAATTATCTGTAATGTTTAATTGACTGACCATATCAACTGATTTATTAAATCAGGTTGGGATAATTAGTGCATACTTAAAAATATTTTTTATCAAAATTTCAATCCAAAAACACATTCGCCATATACTATGTGGATGCGTTTGATATATATTAAATAAAATAAATGGATTTACGAAGGTTCGATTACGGGTGAAAGTTTTTATTTTTCATCGGCTGACAAACGATTAGGTGATAGTCAAATGGTATGTTGCTTCGATTAGGTCAAGTGGATTCGTGGGTTTAGTTTTTGAATGTGGATCGTAATAAACCTATTGCAAAAATCTGAGTGATGTTGGAGACTCAACTGTGCTTCTATCTCCTTCTATCTCTAAACTGCTTGGCAAGTAAGTGGTTGGCCCTCACCATTTTTGGTTATGCTCGCTGCACTGATTAGAAATTTTTGTCAGGGAGTTGGTGGAAATAAAGGTGGACTGTCGGATTCCAGTACCTGTCGGATTTTTAAGGTTTCCTATGTGAGAGAGACAGGAGCCGAATCCTTGCTTCTTATTATATTCTCTAAATTACCATCCACTTGTGTCCTGCCTTCTACCTAGTGAAATCACCCAAGTCAGAAATTGTTATAGTTGTCAGAAGAGTAAAAAAACTGAAGATTAACATTAAGATTTCGCAGAGTAAAGTAGTTAAATGGTCACATGATAATATATAAACTTCATCGATCGAGATTTTATGCACAAAAACGAAAATATGTCAGAGTTATGAATATGCTTATCTGTTTGATATTTACCGATTAGATTGTAAAGGTCAACAGTAAAATAAAAATGAGAAACTTCACAGAGTTATCGATTTAGTTTTTTGTTGCTTTCACGGCATAAATAGTTACAAAAGTTATAAAAAGTTTCTATAATTATTAAAATCTTGGATATGGTAATATGTATTTATTGGCAGGTCGCAGATTATGGGATTTTAACGGATTTATTTAATTATGATGGAAACGCCTCATCGTAAGCGCAATAGGACAGGTAGCCGACATCGACATGAACCAGTTAGTGCCCTTAAGATTCGGCTGTTTTAATTTTATTATTTAGGCAATTTTTGAGCAAATCTATGATTAATTTTGAGTTTTATCATACTTTAGCTTTGCTTTTTCAAATTTTTCTTTGAAAGGGACTTTCGTGATGAATCTTATCTTATTTCCTGTAGAATGGATTTATTATTTTCTTAATTTTCACCTTCTCGATTTTTCTGATTTTTAAATTTTTTAGCCGAAAAAATTTTTTTAAATTTAACTGTTTTACTGTTTTTGCTTTCTAGAGGAAGTCAGCATCTCGTGAAAATGATCGATCATCACGACGTCGACACAAGTCGCGTAAACGGCGTCACCGCCATTCAAGGTCCAGATCTGGTACTGTTGAAAAAAGGCCGCCTGTTGTATACATGAATCCTGCGTTTCAGTTTGTCTCTATTTGAAATTTTTTTCTTATTTAGCTTTTTTTCTTTTAGTTTTAGTTATAAGGCATTTTATTTTTAGTTTAAAAAATTGAAATCTAAGATTTTAGAGTTTAGTTGGAATTTGGTCACTCAATACCTGCTCCTCTTTTTTCTTTGTTCCACATGATGATAACTATTTGCGTGAGATTTTTAATCAAAGATCGCAGTTGTCATAGTTACTCTGATGGACGGCATAAATTTGGTAAACGCCAAACCATCAGCAACTCCAAAATTTGTTTTCGAATTTAGTTTTAATTTTAATCTTCTAAATTTTCTTATTGTTTTTTTTTGTTTAAATTAAGATATGTAGGTTAATATATACTTTTCAGTACTTATATATTATGAAACTTTTTCAGATCAGCTTATAGTAATTCTCTGTCTCATTCGGATAATGAATTGCGCACAACATTAGTTAATCAATTATCTGCAAGCGAACAACGCATAAGTTCTTTAGAATCAGAATTAAGAGCAGCACAACTCGCACGTGGACGTGCGGAACAGACTGTCTTCGAAGTAAACTCGGAGAAACTGCGCTTAGAATCACATAATGCTGAAATAATTCAAGTAAAATTCGAAATATTAAATATTATCGAACCGAAGCTAAAATCTCATGTGATGGGGCATTCCCATTTTTTTGAATGGAGATAAGATTTTGGCATTGAAAGTTTCATGAATCGTATAAAATATAGAATCGTATAGAATGGAAAATAGGCTTTTATTCACATCATAAATTTCCGCGGAACAGACTGTCTATCAGTAAGAAAGAAATTTGAGAAGGATGTTTTTTGCGTCTAGCATCAAAGTGTTCAGTTCTTCGTTATTCGTTATAGGTTATGAAAACCCTGGAACGTGCCGTAGAGGAATTGCAGAATGCATACAACGCAATGAAAAATGAAACAGAACGAAGGCGTAGGGAGACTGAAAGTGCAGAAAAAAATTTGACGCAATGTAAGGAACAAACTGTTTTCCTTTCTGACAGAAATATGAAATTGGTGAGAAAATGTGAAGAATTATCAGAGGAAAATAAAGCTATTCTTAGCAGGTTTGCTGTTTTTATAAAGATTAGTAACTGTTTCATAAATTAGCCTAGATTTGACACTTGTAATCTTCTAATTTTTTTTAGAAGCAATCAAAAATGTCTGTTCTTTTAGCTATATTTATTTATGAAAAAAAAGTCTTGAGATTTTTCTCCAAGTAGCACTCAACATTTCTCATTTACCTATTGACTGATGTGGGATATTTTTCCCAGAGAATCGCTGACGTACTGTAGGTTTATAAATAGATCCTTATCAGCCACTCATATTCCAGTTTTAATGATAAATTTTATTTATTTTTATTATTGTTATTATTTATTTTTTATTTTTATCAAGGAAAAAGAATCGGATTCTTGCTGATTGCTTTAAGTCACAGTATATCACTAGCTACCTCCCAGTTATGAGAATTGAAGGATTTCTACAAAAAAGTTTTTTTAGACATTACACTATTCTTTTGTCAAAAAAGTGTTTAGTAAAGAAGGCGCTAATAATGCTTAGCTGGAGTTAGTTTGCCGAAAAAAGCTTTCACTTTATAATATGAAGTATTTTGAAATTGATGTAATTCTTCCGTTATATATCTTCGATTTTCTTGGAGGCGTGATGAGTCTGCAAGGGAATTGGCTGAAGTTCGACCTCGAATCGAAGGTCTTCAAGCCGAGTTGCGTCAGAGAGCTGAGGAGAACAGGTAGCATTGGTTTACTCTACGAAACTATTAGAAACATTAGGTTATAGTCTTACACTAACACGACATCGTTGCAGAAAAATGGTGGCACAAATGCGCAGCTATGAAGAGAAGGAACGATTATGGAAAAAGGTTGTATAGTACTTCATTTGTACAATTTTTCTCTTATGTTCCCTAAAAACAGGATGCCCTATTAATGCAGTGATTTGCAAATATTACTTATTTTTGTGTGTATCAATGTATATATTAATTATTTTTATGTGTATCAGTGTGTTTATCAGCAAAGAAACCACATGTGAATGTTAACTAAGTGATTGTATTGCGATGTTGAATACCTATCCTAGTGGAATCGTTTGATTGGTAATGCGTCCGGATTTGTAGATTGAATGAGTCCCATCAGCTCCGTTCTTTACCATAAAATATACCTCTTTAATTAGCTTCTATTGATCTATTTAATTATCTTTGCTTTTTTTGGACCTTTCTAGCCATCGTTGTAAAGAGTTTTTTGCTAACAAGTTTAATAGATATAGATGAAATCATCTGCCGCAACCTTGTGCTTCACCTTTATATTAAATTAGTCAATATTTCAAATCTTAAATCTTTTAATCCGATAGCACAGTATAAATTCAATGGAATCTTACATCAGTAAAGGCAGTAATAAGGTATTAGATAAAAAGCTGAGAATTCAATTTTTGCATCTTTTAATTGAAGGAAAAAGTCGATTTTGAAAAAAGAATTGAAATCAAAGATGCAATGGCTGCTGCCGAACGCAGAAATAATGATGAATGGAAAAAGCGACATTTAGCAGAAAAAGCTGAATTAGAAAGAAAAGTGCAGTTGGTGGAACCTGAGATCAGAAAAGCTCTTGAAGCCGTGAGTTTTTTTGACTCATTTATAAATGATTATTTTAGCGAAACTCAAGAAGTTTAAACTGAGTCAAATGGATTGCGATCATTGCACTGTAATTTATCATTGGTTACCACAGATCAGTTCGAATTCCAGTTTATTGGAATTTGTAAGAGTCTTATAAAATTTAATTTTTAATGATTTTTAAAATAGTTATGCGATATTTCTACTGTTAATCATCGAAATAAATTTTCGACATTGCTCTGTTCGAATGAAAATATTTTTCTGTGAGTTTTGAATTATGATGTTTATTTGCTTCTATCATTATGCAGAGTTATTTGTAGAGAAGGTACGAAAATTAATTTTTAATTTTTTTAAATTTATTAAAAACTATTATAGGAAGCAATCATGAAAGCTATTCAAGATTTACGTACGTATTATGAAAAAAAAGTTGATGAAGTAATGAACGAAGTAGAAAGTTTGAAAAATAATAGCATATCAGATCAGCTTCAAATCAACAATGGATTCGATAAAAGTTATTTAAATAAAAAGAATATTTTGAATGAACATCGTCGTCGAGCCAGCTCAATACCACCTAACTGTGAGAATCTCATGTCATGACTTGTCATTTTCTTCTTGCGCTTTTTCAGCCTGGCCATTCCACTTATGCCTCTCTTAATCACTGGTCAGATTTTTTCATAAATGATACATCTCTAGCTGATAATCACAATAGCAAATTTAGTCCACGATATGTTTTTTTAGATGATTTATTTAGGTGATTTACATGAAAAAGGTTGAGCATGAAGTGCATTGTTAAATTCTTTTCTCTTAAATGTATGATAGCTGTATATTTTTAATTTTTTTGTAGTTAGCTGCTTTTCTTGATTATTTAATTTTTTTTCTTCAAAGGTTGCTTGTTGAAAAACGTCGTGAAAACATGACTAATTGAGAAAGAATGTAGAGGTAATGCATCTAAAATATTTTTAAGGAAACCTGGATTTTATAAAAATAATGTATGGATGCAATGAGATGCGTTGAAAAGGAGATAGCTAACATCGAAAAAAAAGGTTCCACAAATTTTTGCATCTTTGTTTTTCATCGTACCTTATATTAATTTATATATTATATTATATATTATATTAATTATGGACATCGACTATGAATTATTTAGGTATGTTAATATTATTATTGTACGCCGTTAACTTTTGTTTTTATTTATTTTTATATTTCATTCGAGTATTGTTTTTCTAAAGTTAATGAGCACAATCCGCCGAACAGTTTTCGATTATCAATTGGTACAAGTAAGATAATAATGGAATCAATAAATAATATCCGGTAGTTTTCCGTTTCATTTACATTTCCACATTTTTTATTTTTTTTTTTGCTTCTTACTTTTCAGTGTTTTGATACTTATTTTTTCTAGTTCTGCTTTGGCTGGCTCCACTGTTTGTAAGGAATTGTTAGGAAACCGTCGGCCCTTTTGATATCCTTTATCCAAAGCCATTTGGCAATAGACTCACTAGATTCACTTTTAATGACTGGTTTACTCCCGTCGAAAGATAGAATAGGATCTATGATGGAGACTGATTTTAGTCGAAGCAGCATACCATTTTAGTTAGCTTTTAAATGTTCGTATATTTTCAGTCTCAGTTTTAGTTATTTCAGTTTTCTTTTTTTTTCCAAGATTTCTTCTTCATCAAATTTGTTTAAATCGCAATTGACTGTGGTAAATTTTTTATGTGCAATGTGGAATTATTCCCTTTATTTTGTAAAAACCGATTTGAAATTTTTTTCGAATTATTAGAAAAATATATTTATCGAAAGAATTTTATTTGATAATATTATTTATTGCATCGAAAAAGGTTAAGCCTTTAAACGGTTATCCTAGAAATGTTTCTAAAAAAATTCTTCACATTTCATACATCTTCTATTTGCTTGTTTTATTTTAATGCATATGTATTAAGCCACACTGTTTCGACAGTAGCAATAGGTAAGTCGTACGCAAATGTTGCGCGAATGTTTGGAGATCCACCGCAGTAAATTTTCAAAAATAGGAAATTGGCTCAAACCAGTTAATCGTTTATATATCGTAATATCGTTTTTAGTGACCTTTGTGACCGATTTTAGTCGGGGTTGGCCGATTTTAGTCGGGTTTTTAATTCAACCGTAAAATTACCCCGTTCCACCATCTTCCTCCATGAAACCAGCGATTCGCATCACTTATCTGCCTAGAATCGCGTACCCGTCGGTACCATCAATACCGTTCATATTTATATATGTATATATATATATATATATATATGCATCATATGTATTTATTTATTCGCTGTTTCATGTAACGGGTTCGCCTTTTGTCGGAAACGATTCATCTTCGACAAAAGGAGAGTATTTATCTTACGGTTTCATTTTTTTATTCGTCAGTTGTTTTTATAATCAATTAAGTATAAAAGTTATCGTTAATTTTTGAGACAAGTTTCCGGTTCAAAAATATGACAACTTGACTATGTAAAAAGCAGTGATAGTGAAAGTTCTCGCTTGTTAAACCGTTTCATCAAATCTGCTAGCGATTACTGGAGGGGGAATTCCAATTCAATGAATACAGATTTAGCAATTTTCTTGAGGCAAACATGAACTGAAACATAAAGTAGATTTTAAGGTTTTAATTGGAAGTGATTTTAATAAATAAGCAAAGCAAATAAAACATCTGGCCAGAATATAATTTAATAAATAACAAAGTGCTAAGGGCGTTAGAGTTTTACTATTGATAACATATGTATAAATCGCCTTTAACGGATCGTCACCTTATCGCACTACAGATTAAAACAAATAAATAAACATATCAACATCGCATACCGAATAATTTATAATTGATATAATTAATCACAAAATAATAAAAGAGATAAAAACCAAACAAAAAAACCAATCGATCTTCTCATCAGTGCTGTATTAATTAGCTAAAATTTCGATAAAATTAAATAGAAATTAAATCTTCCACTTCTCAATCTTAGTATTTGAATTTTACTTTAGAGGATGCTGCTAAATTATCGCTCAAAAGTGGGAATAAGTAATATATTTTGGCAGCCTTATTGAAATCAGTGGATTAAAAGAATCCTTAAATCATCAGTCATTTATTACAATCGCTGGATGGTTGCTTTGACAGTTAGACGTAAATAACGCCGATTTTGTGTAGAAGCAATTGACTAATCTCTCTATATCTATAAATCTTTGTAATTTATAAAAAAGTGCTTTATAATAAATTAACTTAAGAAATGGTTTTTATGACGGTAAATGTTTAATTTATTTTTAGCAACATATGGCACCTTAGATAAAAATGTGCCGTTTCGGTGGCGAAGCTTAATCTAGATCCATTCACACACCATCGCCAATGAGTACTGACTCAATATTAAGTGTGCCTATGCTTTTATCGCTTACCCATATCGATTTCTATATTAAAATAAAACTCATAGCGGAACGTAATATCCATAACGAAATCCGCTGCATACAAAAATTAAAAATTAAAAAAATTAAAAAAATGGTTAAAAGCTAATTAGAAAGCAACTTCAATAATCACAATCATTTAAAATAAACAAATATTAAAAATTATGATTTTTTTGCAACTGATCCGATTGCAGAACCACTTGACCTGAAACTTATACATCGAATATACTTAAAATTACTTACTTAACTACCAAAATACTTAAAATTAACTTAATTACCAAAATACTTAAAATTAACGAAACCATCAAGAGAATAAGAAATGTATAATTAAAAAAGGCCTAGAATAATTTAAACACGCTATCAGCAATCCCAGCTCTGCAGTGCCATTTGTCCAACATTTATAAATTAATAAATTTAATATTTGCGAAAAAATTTACCTTTTTGAAGGGTTAGGCGACTTATCACCAGTAGAAGCTACAGCATTCGCAACTGTTCCACTTGTTTCACGTTTAGTACAAAAGTTAGTAAGTGGAACTTTACTTAATATGTTAGGGTCTCTATCTTTTGGAGGATCCAGTTCTAGTGCATCTAAACGTTTCCACAAATCCTCACGATCTTTTTCCTTTTTCTTCTCCCTAAAAAAAATGAAAATTATTTTTAAAAAACCCCTAAAAAAAATAAGAGAGAAGATAAAATAATTCTGCCTAATAATTTTTTGTTGAAAAATTTAAAAAAAACAAGTATTGCCACCATATTCACTACTATATGCAGTTTTTTAATGCAGTATGAGCTCGCTTTATATTATAACAAACAAAATAACTACATAATTTGGAAGAAAAAATGGAATGCTTAAATAGTACTTTTGCCTCTCCATCTTAAAATTGACCGTAAGTTCATCAAAAAGTTTTCCATTCATTTCCATGAAAGTTTTAAGAACATTGTATACAAGAGCAATTATTGTCTGGTTCCAGTGATCTTTGCTAATTCGGTATAAAGCGGGAAACATTATCGGCATCACCTAAATTAAAAATATGATTTGCTAAACCGCCAATATAAATAATTTCAAAGAAAAAAAATCGAGATTTTACCAACAAAAACTTACTGCTGTACTATTTTCTTCGATGAGTGAGAGAATGTATTCATTATTCCAAAAATACAATGCACGTTCAGCTACCTAAATCGGAAAGTTAAAAAAGAAAAGTTAAATTTAAATGAGAACTATAATGAAACAAAAAATTTGAATAAGAATAACGATGATTAAGATTAATTGCTTAAAAATCAAATTAACTTTGATAAAAAACTATAAACCACAATTAAAGGGAAATAGAAGCGATTTTAATATCTCAAACAAGATATAAAGAAAATCAAAAAAGTAATGATGCTATTTCAGGAACTAAACAAGGAAAATAGTGAACCTGAAAATGTGGACTAGATACACATTTCGCCAGCTGCTTAAAAAGTGGCTCAATAACTTTTTTGAATTGTTCTGGCTCAATTATATCGAGAATTTCCTCAACTTCACCCAAAAACATTACCTGCAGCATTATTTCTCCATCAAAAAAAATTTTTTGAATTTTTTAAGCCATTTTCAAATTCAAGAAATTCTTAACAGATATCAACATAATAGTAGATGTATGAAGTTCAATTTCAAACACCTTCAGTGAGAACCATCAAGTTCAGTTAAATAACCATCCACCTTTTTATGATCCGAAAAGAAAGACAGTTCCATGAGGATAAATAATATATATTATAATTAAAATTAAGACTAATCAAAGAAATTAGATAAAAAAAACTCTTAATTTAATAATAAATACTTCTTTCGCGCTACATGTTTTGGGCCAAAATTTGAAAAGTGCGTCAAAAACTTGCGGAGTTAGTGTCGAATCTTTTTCAATGAATTGCACGACACAATAAGCCAGCTGAAAACCAAAAAACTGATATGAGTTTGCTTTCTTTAGTTGATTAAATCCTCAAGCAATAGCACAGCTCTGAATTTATAGAAAAAAAAAATTTTTAAAGCAAATGGCACGAATAAAGTGCTAAAATAATAATTAAGAAACAGAAATTCAAACAGACAAGGAAATCAGCTAGAAAAGGCAGAAAACAAATACCTGAGCATGATAGAGACTAAGACATCGCGGTTTATGCAAAGGCAATAGCACTTTAACCAAGAAAGTTTTATGTTCTTGTTTCAAAGGTAGCGCGAAGCCATTGATAATACTGGAAGTGTTTAAATTTCCAATCATTTTTTTTCGATTTAGATCATTTTCGAAAATTGAAAAACACCTATGGGTATGAATATAAAAACTAGAAACAGATGAAGCTAGCAAGCAGATTTGCATTCTGATTTTATTTATAGATCAAATAATTACGATAATGATCTAAATATGGAATTGCTTCTGCTTGCTCAACTGGCAAATGTATGAATAACATAACATTAAAAAAAATCGCTCTCTGGATATAGATGTACAATCAGCATTGGTTCACAAACAACAGTTCCAATGAGTTCTAATAAGATGAATTTTATATAATGAGATTTATTTAATCTAATGAGATTTTATAAAACTTGAAAAGTGAAAAGTAAGAGTCAAAAAAAACTGAAACCTGATTTTAAAAATTAAAAACGAACCTCCCTAAAATTTCCAGCAATTCTCCCACACCATTAAAAGAATCCGTTTCAAAAACAAATCTACAAAGAAGAATAAATAAATCAAAGTGTCGAACGACGAAAACATATAAAAAATCATCCATAAGTCATAAAATAAATCTGGCCTCACCGCAAGCATGGTCAAGTGATGACATGGTTGCTTCGATTCGGGCCAAACTCCGAATTGGTTCCACACCCAACAAAAATAAAAGTAAATCTTTCGCTGAAAAATATGGGTATTCCAGATGATCCACTACTACCCGCAAGTAATTCTCATGGAGAAACTTTCTGACCGTACTAACAGTAACCTGAGCGAATCTAACCAGAAATGATGAGCGCTAACCAATTAGTAACTTAAATTTAATCTTGCAAAAAATATTCGATGTATTCGAAATATAATTCTATGATAAAGCTTGACTTTAAAACAATTCATCAGTTTGCAAGACAAATGAAAAATAAAAAAACTTACGATAAAAACATATTATTAATTTGTTTTCTTATGAAAGCACGTAGACCAAGGAATTTGCCATAGATGCGATGAAGCACGGTTTTGAGAAAATCACGCTCTCTAGGATCTTCTGAATCGAATAAATCCAACAACTAAAAAAATTACCTAACAGGATACCAAATTTTGAATTGAGAACAATCTGTAGACTATCGAAAATAATGAAAAACTCCACAAAGCCAAAAAAAAAACTGAGGAGAACGTACACTAAGCACGAAACGTTGGTCAATATATTTCTTCCCAATCGCCGCTTGAAAGTCAGGAGATTCAAGGAAACGAAGGAAAAGCTCATAGACCAGCTAAAAAATTGTTTACAGTGAATTCCGAATCAAGATTAGGCACATCAGTATGAAGAAAATAAAAAACCTGTAAATGAGGCCAAGAAACTTCAAGAGTCGGTTCATCTTCTTCAGGATCAAACTCAGAATTATCTGATGGTGGAAGAACGCGAAATATATTCTTTGATACCATTTTTATTATCTCTGGATATACTGCTTCGGTTATAGCACCTTTCACAGTGGTTATGTGATCGATCAATTCATTGAGAGCTGCACGTTTGATCTACAATTCATATTATATTAAAAAAGCAGCAATTATAGATTTAAAACAAATTTACATTAACTGTCCAGAAAAGGTTAAAAAAAAGTTTGAAATATCGAAAAAAATTGCTAAATAAAGACTGCAGACCTCTTTACTTTTTAATTGTGCAACAGGATCATAAAAATCGAATATTTTTTGGCATTGTTGAAGTTTTTGTATGACAATCGCTGGTTGCTCAGCAAAAGGAGCATCTAAAAAGGAGCAAAAAAATAAAAAATACAGTAATAGATTAAAATAACTTTTTGATAAATTATGATATGACATTATTTAAAGCATGAAATGCAATACACTTTTAAGGCATGTCAAAATATTATATCTCCTATCGCCTAAGAGTATAGGAAATTATATTAAGAATAAATTAATATCTAATAGCATCAAATGACGAAAAAACTGATAAATTGATAATTAAATTAAATTGATAATTAGATTAACTCTCACCAAAATGCCAAAAGAATTACCACTTTTATAATAACTCACATATATATTACAGAATTTTACAACTAATGAAATGGACGAAAAATTAATTAAATAGCACTAATAAGCATTTAACGCCTGTGTAACACTCATATATTTAAGTTAATTGGAAAATCACATCATTTTAGACAAGCCTAACGGAAAAATAATAATGTTAAAGTGAAAATCAATCAAATTATCACAAATGAAGTTTATAGATGAGATGCATCGCATTATTTATACGACGAAATTTTAATTTTTCGAAATTTTCTTCGCAAAAAAACGAAAATTGCGCCTCCTCAAATTCTTCGTAAAAACGAAAAAATATCTAAAATATATTCTGAACTGAGTGTTCGCACTAGAGGAAATATCTATCTCACTATCTTTCCTTTTTTTAATCCAGAAAATCATCATTGTAGACAATCCTTTTCTTGAAAAGCACTAGGAAAGGAAAGCTTTTCTTGAAATAATTTAACTGGAATGGACTGGAAAAATATGAAAAGACGAAACGCACTTACCAACTCATAAGGAAAACACAAAAATAATGCAGAAATAAGTAAAATTTTTTCAGAGTTTATCCCTGACGATTTAGAAAATAATTTACAATTTTAACCAGCTATAAAAAATGACCACCACTTATGAAATACTCAGTAGAATGATCCATATCCACCGTTTCCTTACCAGATAAAAAACCAACCATTTTCATGGTTGAGGCGAATTTCAGAAGGAAGAATTGAATTGACGTAATAAAAACAAAATGCAAACGATTTATAGCCGCTAAATATAAACATAAATAAGTATAAATACAAAAAAATATAAATATATAGAATACAGAACCAACCTTTTATAAGTGTTAACTGAACAAGCTCCTGATCATTATCTGCATGGTACCTACTACTGTTGACAAGCCGACGACGTCGCTTACTCGTTCCTCTGAAAAACAGCAAAATCTTCCAGTGTTCTTCATATATTCGTTTGTTATAACATAAGTTCTTGGGCAATTTCAGTTACAATAAAAAGAAATAGGAATATGTAATTCCAAAAAACTAAAAAATATTAAAAAACGTTAAGATAATAAAACGAATTTTTTTTCATAAAAATACCTTTTAGAAAATGGATCGATTTTATCGACAAACTGAGTTGCTGTAACGGAAAGTTGTTGCCCACCAGTTGCTGCACCTTGCGTACGTGGAGGAGGAATGTGATATTGAGAACCACTAAGCAAAGCCTTTTCTGCCATACTGGCCTTAGGCTATTTAATCGTCTTTATACTTGACAGCTGTCCTAAAAAGCTGATCAAACTGATTGCTGATTTGCATAATAACATAACACTCCGATAAAAACCATAATAACGAAACTAAACATGCAGCAATAAGTGCAAAAGTGAGATAGTAGAATTCTACCAAATCCATGCGAAAAAAGTCGCAAATTATTGCCGCCATAAATTTCCCAAAAATTTCTTCTTTATTCCTTAAAAAATCACCCAGATATGTCAACCACTAATTTTGACCTTATGATGAGATTTCAGCCATCCATCGTGAAAAAAAATAATGAAAAACCAAAAAACCAAAAAAACCTACAAGGTAGTGCCGAAATGAACGCATATACACATATTGGTACTTGTAATGCGAAAAATTCAGTAATGCCAGGTAATGCTTCGAGGGTTCCGTGAAACAAAAGTGTAGAAATAAAAAAAACAAAAAGTGCAGTTCACCCACACTACATGTGATTTTGACAATTCTGTTATAAATTTGCAGCAATATATATTGTAAGCAGAATAAATTTCCTCTAACCCTCTTCAAGCATGTACTGTGCAGCAAAAAATGTACAATTATCTACCGTTTAAAGCTCATATCTACCATGTGATATGTTTATTTCTTAAGAATACTTTCAACTTTAAACATGCAAAAGAGCTTCGTTGGTCAAATGAAGTGCGAATTTGCGTTCATCAACTGAAACAAACATGAATCAGAATTTAATAGATGTATGTAGGCGAATTTCATAGTACACGAGAAAAATGATGAAATTATCTCATAAAACTCGCTTCTCCCATTTTATCTCATTGTTTACTAAGTGAATTATACACCGCAATTAAACAGCATCGCCAGATGAATGAAAGTACCGTCGGCGGTACCAACTGGGATTTCGCTCCCCGCCAATTCAATCCGAAATATCCAAACGGAGAATGGAGAAACATTAAATTTTATCGAGCAAAATTTAAAATAATTTAGTTGAAAATGAATTTATAAAACAAACATGAAAATTCAAAAAAGAAATATTTTCAATAAAACGAAGAAAAAGGTTCATTTTAAGAAAAAACAAATCAAATATAAACGAAATTAAACGACGAAATTATTAAAATAAGAGTGAAAAAAAAGGATTTAGGTGCCCGCAAAATATCACTGATAATTTTACATATTAAATGATTGTGTAAAACACTGCGATTCTCGGCAGCAGATAACTACGTTGGCATATCGCCAAACTTGCTAAGATTCGTCCTCGCGGAAAACTTCGGCACGTCGATTTCTAAAGCTTTGCAGTCCTTTTTTCTTCACATTTTTAGTATTTTATATATTAATAAGTAAAGTAAATATTGAATCGTTGTTTAGAATAATTCTAATAATTCCGACTGGAAATTTGAGAAAAAACAACAAATTGGGCGAATTCTGAAAGATTCTGTAATTCTTTATGATTCAGTTAATTTTGTTTAAAAATTTTTTAATTTTATATTTAATTGAATTCTTCGAAGTTTATTTAACCATTTAATACTTAAATTTAACTCAAATTCATTCTTTTGAATTTTTCATTACAAGAAATTTTTTGCAAAATTATAGCTTTTAACCCGAAAGTTCTCATAATCATGTCGAAGTCCCATTCCGTGAAAACCTTTGATGATAGAATGGTTCAGTGGGTTGTTGCTCAATTGGGAGCGTCGGTGCTGAGGTTCGGTTCCCCGCAGGAGTAAACCTGTATCCGGGCGATGCTGCTGACTCACCTGCATTTCTGTCCCATGGGACCCCATGGCATATTGCCCAATGCGACAAGCCTTAAAAAAAAGATTCATATCGAAGTGAATTTTTAACTTTATAAACTTTTCAAAGCGTCGAATTCCTTTAAGAATGAAAGCCACTTAATCCTTGAAGGGTTTGGCTGCGAATTCCATTGAGAGGGTGGTGAAAGCTATTCGAGGTGAGAATTACTCTTTTACAAGAAAATTTGCGTAAATTCAAAATTTAAAGTTTTTAATGCAAATATCACTATTTATCTTACAGTAAAAAATCTTGCGGATTATATTACTTATGGATTCCTAGGAGATTTCTTTCAGTTAAACAAATTAAGGTGAGGAAAGCGAGGAAATCGAAAGCAGCTGAATCGATCATATCGTTATTTTTTGTTTCATTTTGCTGTAATTATTTTTAATTATCGCTATAAAATATTTTAATTTTTATTTTCTATAATTTCGTTATTTTCCTTAAAATTTATAAATATTAAATTTTTTTTCCCATAAAAAAAAATGAAAGAAATGAATGAAAGAAATTTCTTGAAATTTAGAATTAATTAATTTAAATTTCCTAATGTTTACACTTTAAAAAAGAAGCCAATCGATAATTTTGTATTTTATTTTTTATATATTAGAATTGTGAAAAATTAAAATCAAAGAATATACAATTATTATTGAAAAATTCTTTGTTTAAATGACTTTCTGTTTGTCTTATTCATCTTAAAAGAGTTATTATTGGAAAAAGTGTGACATTAAAGATAAAGATAATAGTGAACAATTAATTTTATAATTATTTTTTACAATTTTTAGAAAACAGTTGAAAGAATACTTAAAATTAAAATATGAATAATTAGACGCTACACACAATAAAAAAATTTGCTCGAAAATTTGAGTTGTTCAAGCTTTGAAAGAGATTGGCAACAAATAGCAGGACGATATGCTGTGTTACTGAACTTTTGTATATGGAAGTGATATAGAAACTAGTTAAAAAAGGACAAATGAGTGGTTACTGCTCAGATTATCGCCTCAAGCATTCTATAGCTCCTCTTAGTATTGAAAGAGCCCGATGGTGCGAGAGGCCATGTACATCTCCTTGTGGCATCTCCTCCTGTACATCTCCTCCTCGGTGAAAATTTCTCAATGTAAGCGAACCTAACCAAGAATGCTTAGCACTAACTACTTATTTACTAAAATATAACAAAATATAGCAAAATGTTGATCGAAAAAAGTGAAACAATATGTGAAATAAAAATTGCATTTTGGAAATCTACAAGTTAAATTGTTCAATCATATGTAAACCCATTTTCTCGTAAATATGGTGCCTTTTATTGAGCTGCAATTCTTCAGAAACCATTGAAACCGAGTGCTTTTCTTTCATTCGAGGATATTCACATACTTCAGTTTCTGCTTCTTATCGATTTCGCGATTTTTAAGCAGAGCGAACATTACCATATTCTTGAAGCCAAAAATTTTATTAGGAATTTCACAAAAGTTCAAATAATTTTATCAGTTTTCACGTTTATTTATTTTTAGCGTAAATGGAGTATTTTTTAATGAAAATACGGTATTTTCTACTAAGTTTGTTGGTAATTTAAATTATAATATCGATAAAATTTTTTACGCACTTCTAAAATTTTATGCATATTTTTTATATTCATTAGTTTAATTAGTTTAATTAATTAAACAGTTGAAAAGTTAATTCGAGTGGCATGGTACTTTAAATTAAATCGAATCATAGGTTCGATTTCTTTCCCTTGGTGAAAATCATTTGTATTTCTATCATAAAATTGGCTCCAGCGAACCGGTGTCATGCCAACAGCCAGTGAAGCCAGCTAAATCGAAAACGGTGAGTGTTATCAGAAATTTTGCAGTGCCGCTTTATCACTTGTGTTTTTATGTGCGTATATAATATAATATAAAAAAATCTAAAGCCAACGAATTTTATGATCCCAATATATTACAGTTTTGCGAGTAAACGTCCTTTTGAAGATATTTATAGGAATATTCGACCAAATTTATGTAATACTTTTTTTTGTGTATATTTCATTTAGAAATCGTTTCCGCAATTTCTTAACTAAGCGATGCGCAATAAAACAAGGTTTTCAGAAGCTTCAAATTCATTTATAATTTTATAAATTCGATCAGTGCAAATGAAAGAAAAATTGAAAACAAAATTAGCGTTTCATAGCAAATTTTGTTTCACAATTTGTGGAGAAGATGGAAAGAAGAAATTTTTTTGCAAAAATTTAATCAAAGAAAAAATTATTTTCACTAAATTTTTTGAATAAAGTGAACTTTTAACATAAAATGATTGAATTTAATGAGAAAATCGCTGGTTTTATTGATAAAAACGTACGATTTGCGAAATGTCGGCTGAAATTTCATTTTAAAAAATTGTCCAGATTTACTTCATTTATGTTCATCGTACAAAATAATTATTGGCAATTTCTAAGAAAAAAATCTGAAGAAAATTTAGCTTTGGCATCAGGTGATCGAAGAAAAAATCAACAAGCAGTAATAAGCAGTAGCATTTTGAATTCTAATTTTTTTCCCAATTTTCAGCGATTTTCGTTAAACTCGACATTTACAATTATTTTGCAAGAAAAATCTTCAACGATTCTAAAATATTGCCACGGTCAATGGAAATCTGAAATCTGTTTCGTGCCAAATGTTGTCTATTAGTTATGACAACAATGGTTCTATTCAGACCGGTGAAATTTCTAAGAGCCAAAAAATATTTCTCATAATTCTCTTTTTTTGGTTCGACTAAGGTGATATACCTTGGAGACATTGTCTATAGAACCAGAATGATAGCATTGAATATGAATCCTGTCTTAGAAAAAAAACTAAGCCCCAGAGTGTTCATATTTTTAATAATTATTTGTAAAAATGGATAATGAATAGAGCAATTTTTTTTGAAAGAACTATTCTTTTTGCCTCAGGCAATTTTTTTAAACGTTTGGGAAATATTTTAGATGGGCAACGTCGATGAACCTGACCAATTTTATTATTTAATGTTGCGCAGATTTGCAGGTGGTAAATAAATGTGTAATATGCAACAAATTTTATTTTGCCTTTCGTTATTCATCTGACCTGAAATCCATATTTATAAGTTTATGGTTTAATTTTAGTAAGAAAACTATGATTTTAAAAATTGTTTGCGTCATTTGTTACCATTCATATAAATTTTTTGATGCATTTATTCATTACTTATTGGGCAATTCACCATAAGCGCCATAAACTAGAAAATATATTTATTTTGCTTTGTTAAATTTGATAAATGATATATTTCCGTGATAAGTAAAAGCGGATGCAGCCCTCAACAAATTTTTTTTCCGTCCTTTATAACTTTTGGCAATAAAACGTTAAAAAAATCGGCAGTGATTTACTAACAAATAAAATCTATTTTCATTATCAGTGCTTAGCAGTTGTTGGCAGTCATTAGCCCACATCTTTCATCAATGTTTCACTCTGTAAAATTTTATTTCATGTCTGAAGCAAAATTTTTTCAGGTTAAAAAAAAAATAAATAAACGAAATTTGTTTGTGAATTGTAGTGAATTTTTCATAATATCGTTCCAATTATTACAACTACTTGACGACAAAGTGTATATTTATTTTAAATACTGAAAAACACAGTCGTGATCTCCGTGATGTTCGGCGCAATTCGACCTCTTGTCCTGATCTTCAGATAAATGCGAATGTCTGTTTTAGGTTAGTTTTTATTTGATATACCACCCAACCATTTTCTGTTCCCTAGTTGATATTCGACGAAGGGATTATGCTTTAAGAACAAAATGATGCACTGAGATCAACAACTCTGTTTTTTTTAGTTATGCAGTTGCTATCATATTTATCAATGTCATGTAAACTACATCGACTTATCATTTTTTTGGTAAAATAATAAAATTCCTTTCATCTCGAATGACGGATTTTCTAAGTTTAATGTTCTAACAAAATGCACGATTTTATAAAGTTTCACGCTAAATTATGTGTAACTGTGCATAACAACTTTAATTCATTAAATAATTAATAGGATGCATAAGAAGGTAGTCAAAGAGAATTTTCCCAAAAAATTTAATTATGAACTGTTAATAATAATAAAATGATTTGCAAAACTATTCTAGTTGTAATATAATTTAACAATAATTGATAATGATAACAATAATGGTAATAATATTAATAAAATGATGACAAAATTTTGCCCCTCACATTTACAAAACGAAATTAACGGATTATTTTGTAACGATGATAATAGAAAACGTATTGCACTCGAGCCAATCCGATTACTTGCATTATTAAGTTTGTTTTGATTTGTAGAATGTGATGCATTTTATAAAAAAGTGCAAAAATTTATAATGGCGAGAGTTATTCCGAAATATTGGCGTTATATGTAAAAAAAATCCCCTTCTCACTCATTGTGAGTGGATCTCCTTCAACTTCAGTTTCTCTACCAAAGGGTTGGAGATTATTTTTGTGTGCTCTTCTGAACAAAGAACTCTGATGTTCCTGGAATATGCTGAAGCCAATTTTCTAGTTTAGAGAAACCAAAGTTGTAGAAGTTAATTTTATAGTTTCATAGCCCCTACTTTCTACATCTCCAGTTCCTCTTGGTTACCACTCTTTCACCCCTTGGTTTTCTTATCTTTCTTCTTGATGCTACTCCTCGTCTTGTTTATTAACATGATATTTGGTTGATTGGCCAGTATTTACTTGTATATCTGGAAACCTTGATCTTGCTATTTCCATAATTTTCTGTGGAATCTCCACCTGGCTCTGCGAAGATCTAGCTCATTTGCTGTCGATAAACCTAAAGACAATATCAGCTTTGTCATGCCATTCAAGTGTATGCCTGCTGTTGAATTATTCCTGAGGCACTTTTGCATTCACAATCTTCGAATTCTGTTTGATATGATAGATCTTTACTTCGACAGAAATTTGTACCTATTCTTGTATTGCTTGACTAATCTTCAATGTCGTATAGCCAAACTTTTTGAAACTTTTTTACAATATTGGATTTTTCAACGATGGTTATCGTAAATATCTATCGAAGTATCTATCGATGGCACAATGCTTTGCCATGGCATTTCATCTGCTTGATCTTCCTCTGATTTCTGCTTCAGGCATCCTTTCAACAGCTCTTCTTTCGACGTTATCTTGCTGATATATTCCTGAATGCCCTGGGTATTAACGATAGTGGTTTTGACACTTCCATGTCTTTCTTTTGCCATTTCAATATACCAGCAGTGCATCAGAATGTGCATGTTCATGACATGCATCTTGCTTTTCCCATTAATCTGGTTCTTTAGAATCTGTTTTATTCTTTGTTTATATTTGCCATAATTATTTTCATGTGATCTCGAGATATCAAGATACAAGATATTTGTAACCAGTCTGTTTGTCAAGCTATTTCTGATTAGGACTCGCTTCTCTAGCTAGTACCCGACAAATTTCGCCAAGGGATTCCTTGGCGATGGAATGTGAGTCGCCATTATCCTGATTTATAGAAGCTCACTCCTGTTAGGAATAGAACCTTAGCATTACACTGAAATGAGAAACACACACACTGAACCTTTCTCTTCGCTTTATTGCACATTTTTATTTGTTCTTGAGTTCATCTCGTGTTTTTGCGTGTTATGTAAAAAGGAAATATTGTATTAGCACAAATAATAATAATAATAATAATAATAAATGGATACAATCCATGCAAAAAATAAAAATTTTAAATTCCCTTCTCGCAGACACCACCTGAATTAATAACACGAGCGGAGGCTGAACCATGCTTGAAATGATAATCTATGCGATATTAGAAGTTTAATGAAACAATTTTTCGAATTTGTTAAGTCATATTTTTTTCTTATAAAATTTAACATATAGCATAAACTGCAAATTATTTTGCAATGATATTCACCTTGGATTAGACTCAAATAATCCATAAATTATTGGATTTACTACAGGATTAACAACAATTAATGCATTCAAAAATGGAAGTGTTACTAAAATCGTATCACGAGTCTCTGAAGAAGTTGCGAACATATTCATAAGAGCCATTATATTATATGGAGACCAAAGACTTAGGTAAGCGACCAATATTAGTGTTGCTTGTCGTTTCGCCTTCTGAAAAAAAAATCGAGTATACCAATTTTTTGAAATTTGCGGAAAATTATAATCTCTAATTAAAGTTAACAAAAACCAGTGAATAATATCTCATCAACTTGATCGATTCGCTGCATTAATTTTGCCAATATTTAAATGTTGAAATGAGTGAAAAACTTATAAATGAAAAATAAATGAAGGTCTCTAAACTGCGACTTTAAAAATCAGTTAGTGCTGAAAACATTTTGGATGTTATAAAAAAAGCTAAATTGATATGAGTTTTGAGAATAGATAATTTCCGACTTAAAATAGAGAGAAATATAGAAAAAATATGTACTTTTAAAAATACATTGCTTAATAATGTCAACAGTGATAAACATATCGTTTTACGTTTTTCCCTAATTTCCTTTTATAAATAAATAACATGTGAACTACAGTTCAGCAGCGAAGACAAAGATTAACTCACCGAGGCAGCCCTACTGATGGTTTTTTGGGTAATAGACAATAGATTTGTGTTGTTGAAATTTGCTGCTCCGTCACTCTGGTCATCGCTAAATGTTCAAAAAATTAAAATTTTGAAGAAATTTAGAAGACGTTTCTGGAATGTAGAAGCAAAAGTAAACTCGTTAAATTTCGCTTTGCTCCTAAGCAAAGGATCGGATAGCTAATAACAATGGAAACAGTTTCTTAAAAATTATCTTTCTTAAAAATTTGTCAAATTGAGAAGGAGGAAATGGTTTCTGATGAATAAATAAAACGACTCAGCTGCCATTTGAACTTAATTCTAAATTTTCTTCCTACAATATTTTGTGTTATCTTGATTCGATCAAGTTATCCTCCCTTTATCGTTAAAAATTTAATAATGGTTCTAGCCGCGAGATTTATCTGCCTATATTTTACTTTTCGAAAAATCTTTTATTCGCATATTTGCCATTGCTCAAATTTTTCTTGAAATATGAATAAATAATTTTATTGAAAATAAAAAAGAAATAATCCATAGAATAAGAGTTTTCAGAGAGCTAAAAAGCCCTAATCCATTAATAATAAAGAAAATAAAAATTTTGCAGCTCGGATGATAGTTCAAAAATTTTTATAGATTACCAAAACAAAACATTAATGGAACTCAAAGCTACAGGGCATTTAATTTTATTGTATGTACAGTTCTAAAGTTAAGTTAAAATCATTTTTAGCTTTTAAATAACATTTACAGTTCACTGGGAATCTTTTCTCCATACATGCCATTCTTTGAGCACCGTTTTATAGCTGGTAATTTATATTCTTTATTCGAATCTAAAAAATTCATCATAACAGTATATTTATAATAATATATCAATATTCTATCCGGATGGTGTTGAGGATCCATTTGTGTACCTATCCTTATTTCCAAGTGATTCTCTGATGAATAAGGTCTTATCCTTATAATCAGTAGATCCAGTTAAGCATGAAACTGTTGTTAAAAAAACGATTGCTTGCCAAAATTTTTTCAAAGCAATGCCATAAAAAAAACGGCTAAGGGAGAATATTGGAAAATAATCGCGTTCCAGTTGACTGTATAAGATATCTTAAATTTATGAATATTTTGCGAAAATATAATTGGTAGAAATAGAGCCAGTTTATTACATAATTTTTAACAACCTAAAACCTACTGAATAACCACACGCTAATACTGTCACGATTCATTTGCAAGCAAGCGCTCTTTCAACAAATATTGATATCCAACATCTTAACAACATCTACTGATTAGGCTGATGAGAAACGTTTTCCTCTAAGCAATTAAGCTAATTGCAATTTTGCACAAAAAATTGCTATAGTAATAAACATCACAATTTACAAAGCCAAAAGCATTAGGCATTATATATCGTAAAAAATAATATCGTAATTTTATCATTACTTTCGCCCTTTTTTAGAGCATTCAGTGCACATATGACAAAAACGTATGATGATGCAACGATTAGTGTTGGTATCCAGAATACGAGAAGAAGATGCGCCATGTTATATACCATTTCCCATCGATGAACCTGTACAGCAAAAATGACATTTTTCAACTTTTTTCTTAGAATGAATTGAACTTTGGCAGAAAATTTCAAAGGAAATTTATTTATTTAAAGTGAATCTTAAGTGAAGTTTGTGAAGCTCATTTGGTTTTTGCGATAAAAATCTGGAACACTTTCCTTGGTGATATTCTTTTAAAGCTCAAAACTTAAAAGTTTTTTAGAAATACGAAATTATTATGCTTTTGAATAGACGAGTATTTTAAATGCTTGATGAAATAAAAGTTTGCACCTGTATGAAATCAGCAGTATATTGTTGTTTTTCTTGTTCACTAACTGTGGGGGACAAAAGTTTTCGATCATATTCGTATGCATAAATTGTCCATACAGGCGTACATTGTCTGAAGGAATTTCACAGTATAAGAAAATTTAAAGAGAAAATAAGCATAATATGAGGAGCAAAAGATTATGAAGGTGCCAAACATTACTTGAATTCTGCGAATTCAATAGGATGAAAAAGTTGGAAAATAAAAAGTTGAGGGGCTGAAAATACAGTTGCAGCTATATAAACAATAATCAATGTTCGACGAACCCTTTCCAGCGCAATTTCTGAGGCTTTTATGGATCTAAAAAATTACATTTTTCTTTTTATAATTCCATGAAGAAGTAACTTCATTCATTAATCTTCATTAATGTGCAATGGCCAATAGTCGCAAAGTATCAATGCAGCTATGTAAAGAATAGAATTCGCCATTTTCAAGAGGTAACAATTTTATTATTAATAAAATTATTCTGTTCTACGCTATTCTAAATAAACGGTTCTTTCTGCGATTCAAAAATTGATGAAATTAATGAACCTCATATTGAGGTAGCTGCTGAGTATCCACCTACACCTCTACTTCGAAGTGGCTCATTAGCGAAATCATTTGCCAAAAAGAATTTCCTTATCTTGACCGACCGACAGCTGATCAGTTCAAGCGCAATTATAAATAGAAAAGCAAGAGGCAAAATGGTAGAAATAGGATAACTGAAACAAACCTTATACTTTTAGTTGTATAAGCACGGTCTATTGCTATGTTTGCAATAACGAATGAATTTAGATAAAAGCTGAATGTATAGAAAAATTTACATATTCGACACAGCAGATCACCACCATGCCACTGTAAATTTCAGTGCAAATAAAACATATAGAACAAATTATTGAAGATTCACTAGATTCTGTATGATAATCGAAATCAAGTCGCTTATTGAATTGGGCGAATTCAAGATTCTTTTACATATAATACTGGATTATTATTATCGTTTAATAATTTTTCAATAGCCACTTAAAGAAAAACATGCAAACAACCCACTTAAATAACTAAGAGAAATCGGAAAGAGAAGAAAATTTGAATAAACTTTCAAATAAAACTCTATATTTTATATTTAAAACACAAAAAAATAGAAGTAAAAATTATATTTCAACCATATTTAACATAAATAATTAATGGAATTAATGGATTTACGTTCCCGACTTGCAATCATGAATTTCCTAAAAGTTTTTTTTAATTTTCCTTCATTTTTTTGAGTTTTTTTCCCATAAAAATTCATGGTTTTGTTGATTGTTGACTTTTGCATTTTCATTGGCAATAAGGAATTTTTTTATTTCTAATTAATTTGACGAATTTATTTGAAATAGTCAGCGACCGAATCAATAATTAAATAAACTGACTTGAACGACTAACTTTTATTACTGAATTAAGGCGAAATTATTTATGGTTTTAGCGCAATGTACTGTTAAAAATGAATGCAGTAAGCTGCGCACCAATTAATTTATTGAACTAAGCACCAAGATTATTCATATATTTTCCTAAATGATTCTTTTTTTTTGTAATAGTGGCTAACTTATTATCTGCTTTAAGATTTGGTTTCCACGAACTAAGTAAGGATTTGCCACTCATTCGAAAATTCCATTTTTGCTTATTGGAGAATAACATTCTTGCATCTTGTTGAATCTTTATATTTTATATTTCTTTTTTAATTGCGCCAGAATATGATAATAATCGCGTTCGCATTTCATTTATAATTCCCATTAGAACTAATGAACAAATGAGCTACCCAAGTGCCAAAGAATTGAAATTTTTTTATTATTGAGCCCAAAAATTAAAAACTTTATTCTTGCATAATGAAATTCTTTGACTGCGAAAATCCTATTATGAAATTATTTTCCTGAGATTCATGAATATACTACAATACGAAAACAAAATTAGTGTAGTATAATTAAACTTCTACCTGAAATGTTGTCATCCAGATGATTTGTGTTGGCGTATAAATAAACATTGTTAAAAGATCGGCAATATTTAAGTGCAATCGTAATAGTAATATTTGACTTCTAGACCGATCTGAGATATAATTTCGATAGGAACGAATAAATGAGATTAAATTCAAAGGGCCACCTATACATAAGCATATTATGTAGATCATAATCTCCACCTGAAATTCCTGTAAAAGTTAGGAAAACCATCGCCACCTCAATCTTGTGAGGCATTAAAAGTGATGCTAAATAATTTTACTTTGCTTTGATTTATACAATTCATTATTAAATATATATATATCAGTCCTGAAGGCATTTGTGCTAATTTGTGTTCAAAAACAATTTCTAATAAAAATTATTTTCAAAAAATTTTTTGGGATAATACTTCCCACTTTCTCCTTAATTTGATTTTAGCGAAGCTTGAAATTGATAATATTTCTAGAATATTGATAATTTATAAAATAAGAGAAGTATCTCCGATATATAAATTATCCTCAATTGCATTTGATAAATATATATAAATTAAAAAGAAAAAACTTACCAGATCGGCAGTAAGTCTGGTGGCAGGAGTAAAACTTGTGGAATCAGTAGTTTGAAGTGCTGAGCAAGTCTCATTGCATGAACTATCTGCCATAGCCTTAGGGAACCCACAAACTTTTTATTTTTTTTATTAGATTCTTTTAAAAATTTTTTTCCTACAAATATAACAAATTCCTTTGACATCAATATAATCAAATAAAAAACAATGCATCAGTAAAAATTTTCTTATCATACTATTTCTTATAATCTCAATAACATAATTAGATGGCAATATTCATACGAAGAATTTCATCAGCAAGCACTATAAAATTCTGGGACAGATTATGTTACAAGCATAAATTCGTGCAGAAAACTGGAATTTAAGGAAGTACAGGAATAAAAATTGCTATTAACATATTTAAATCAATTTCATAGAAATAATTATATATTTATATTTATAATTTTATTTTCTATGATTTCTATAATTTCAGCATTGCTAGTTCATTTGCTTTCTATTAACAAAACATAATGTCGCGAAATGCGATATCTTTTCTTAAATCATTATTTCAAAACGATGTCTCTGAACCGCAAAAGAAAACTTTATTAATCGATTCTTTAGTTATTGCACTTTATATGTCAATAAAACATAAAGAACAATTTACAGTATACGTTGTATATTCTATACTAATGAAAATCTTTCTTCTGCACTTTAAGGCGCCATATCGTTCTTATGCCATTTTAGGCGCCATTAAGGGACTCTAGCGGTTGGGCTTCAATATTAATATTTTTGTAATAATATTGGTATTTAAAACATTCATTCTTTAAAATGTCCTTTATCCCTTTATTCTTTTTCTTTATTTTGCCTTTTAATCTATTTGGTTTAATCGAAGCTCGTTTTTTCTGACTATATATTAATTGTTTTAACTACCCAAGTTTGAGGCGGCGAATAAAGATTTTTATTAATTCTGCGGTAAGTTTTTATTCTACTGTCTTGAGAAAACAGCAAGGTTACCTATTATAATTAACGCGTGGTAGTCGAGCATCATCCCACTGCTTCCAATCAATAATACACATATATTAAAGCACAGCAATGAAAATGCAGAGGAATATGTTGAAGGAACATATAGTAGGAGACGAATGGTAGTAAAAAATTTTTCTACGATTTATTCACACGATAAATGTAAAAGTTGAATGCAATCTCCTTGCGTAATTGACGTCGTAAACGAAGTTTTCGCGACTTCATTGCCTTTTTCGCTACCATCATTAATGGTTTTGGTGGCACAATAGTCAATTACAATAGCAATAATAGTTAACACGACGAAAAGAAATCATGACACAATTGCTCTCGTTTCGGAACGCCGATGCTGGAGTTTCCCACCAGAAGCTTCCCTGTCTAAAACTTCAAAAATACGTGTGATGGCAACTCACCTATCTTCTATCACCAAATGACTCCATGGAAAAATGCCTGTGCAGACAAGCTAGTAGAGAAAACTTGGCCAGAAATGGTAAGCACTCTACGGTTTAATAATGGGTTTTCAGCAGTGAAAATATGATTTGAAACATGAGACATTTATAAAATAAAAAAATTTTAATTAAAATTTCATCTCTTCTTAAAGTGCAAAACAAAATCAAAGAGCGCAAATTTGAAATTAGCGTTATCTGATAAGAAAAAATCGTTTTTTTTTTGAAATTAAATCGAATCATAGAATGTCAAACTTGAGAGACTCAATTTGTTCGTGGGAATTTAGTTATATATATATGATGATAGACTTATTGAGAATTAGAATAAATGGTGTAAATTAATGAAATTTATTTTGCTTTTCCTTTTCAAATATTCCATCATTTCCAGCCAAAAAATTCTTTTATTATTCAAAACTTTTTGAATAAAATTCTACTTTTTAAAAATTCATAATTCCTGGAAAATTAAAATCTGGAAGTTTAAAAGATCTTTTCTTAATTCCAGATAAAGTCACCATAAAATATAATAAAATATATAATAAATATATATATAATATAATAAAATATAATATATAAAATCACCATGATTAAAAAATGAAAAAATATGCAAATCGATGGTAGCAGTAGGATTTCCGAAATTTCAAGTTGTAGCGAAAGGAAAAAGGAATAACCCATGTCTTAGGAACGATGATAATATGGCGAACAAGTAAATGAAAGAATTAAAAGTATGGAAAGAAATTGAATATTGAATAGAAAGGGCTGACAAACCAAATTCAATTTCAGACTAATGTCTGAGTTGACTGGGATTATAAACAGGCAATCAAATCTATGCGCAAATGAAAATTTGGATATTGTTCAAAATATTTTAGTTGGACTTTTTTTAAAGTGTCACAGTTTCCTTTTCCGAAAATCTTCGATTAGTATATTTATTCTTAGGTAAGTTTATTAAATAAAATTTAATTTTTCGGAAAAATTCAAAGTAGATTCGAAATTTTTCCAAGAGATTAGAAGATTTAGCTTCGGATTTCGAAACTCTAGTTAATTTCAAAAATCAAAGAATTCAAAGCCATTGAACCGTGCAAATTAAAATCGAGAATCATTTCCCTACCAAATTAATAAAAATTTGTTAAAAATGGAAAAGCTTTTTGAAAAACGCATAGGATATCATTGATAACCAAATCCATGTTCACTTTTTGGAATAATTTAAAAATGGATGTTTGGGAAGAAAACGCTTATTCTTAATGCTTAAAAACAACGCATGCAATTTGAATTCATTAATAGGAAGACAATAAATTTTAAATGTAAGGAACTCAAAATGCATAGCACTTTTGTGCAAGAAACTTCACATAATCGTAATCTGAATAGAATATGAATATTAATTGGCAAAGAAATCAGAAAATTTTTAATTTGCATATTTTTTTTCGTTCAGGGGCTCTGGCAATTTTGTTAGTTGTCAGAATGAGTCCGCTAGAGGAACACTTAGAAAGAGAAGCCTCAGGTAATTCCCGCATTGAATTTGAAGTGCAAATAATTCGATTTTAACAAATAAAATTAATAAATCCACTAATTTAGTTGGAAACAATGTGAAACGTCATGAAATATTAAAATTTTGAATGAAATGAATTTAAAAAAATAATTGAAAGACCAGGTTCCAAAATTTTGAAGCGAGGCTAGCGAAGGTAATTTAATTAATTAGTTTGTTGTAAGTCAGAACAACTAGAGTGGCTAATTGACCTTTCATCATGAGAGATCACCACTGAAGAGATTTAAGTGAGTTGAAGGAACTTAAGACCCTTTATTCTTTCAAAAAAAAGTCTGCTTTTGGTTCTGCAGTTAAAATTCATTGTATAAGAAATAAATATAAATGGAAAAAAATGGCTATTTACCGATCGACAAATAACATTCCCGATCAGAAGATCAATGATAGTAGGCTGAAAATTGATCGGTCCTAAAAAAAAAACCAGTAACTCGAGCCCAATTCATACAAAGATAAAAAATTATCATAGTGATGAATAGGGAATAGAATGGCTCAGTGGATTGTTGCTCAATTTGAAACGCCGTTGCTGAGGTTCTATTCCCAGTGGGAATAAATTTGTTCAAAAATCCGGATGATGCTGGCGACTCACCTGTATTTCTATCGCCAAGAGACTGGCATATTTATCTAATGCGACAAGCGAGTTTAACGATGACTCTTTAAAAAAAAGTGATGAATAGAGGTCAACGTTACAAGCGTTTAGTATCGAATGCTTCATCTGCGATAATTATTATTAATTTTAGTATTAGAAATTATATTTATAATTTCTAATACTAAAATTTCTAAAAATTGTCAGGAAGGAATGAGGTAATCCTAACAACAACATCTCCTAGGAGCAAATAATTATACATAAGGCTGTTGCAGCTGGTATCAAACGAAACAATATTTAGCCAATTATGCAATACTTTTGAAACATTCATGCTAATTCATGCATAATAAGAGACGAATCCTAATTTAAAAAACCTCAAAAAGGTTATTAAATTAGTTAGTGATAGTGACATGTTTAGCAATACAACAAAACGGTATATCTAACAGAATTAATAAAGAACTCATGGCCTGAGAATAAGCCTTATTGGCATCTTCTTCTAACAACTCTCACCACTACTATTTAGGCTGGCTCCGCTGGTTGAGGTTCCAAAGTGTGCGATCTGATGCCATCGTTGATATTAATAGAAGCCATTCCTTTTTCCATTCTCTTCTATATATCGCTGGTTCTTCTATACGTTCATCTTTACTGTATTAGTCAAAGACTTGATTGGCCCACCTCGTTTTTAATATCATCCGTTATAGAGTTTAGGAAGTAATGAAATATGTATTAATAAGTGTTGTGGGCGACAAAGAACGTGCTCTAAGCAGCGAAGACGACATTCTGTGATGGTGCAAGTAGTATTTGATTATATTAGTATTTATGGCATAAGGTATTCAAATTATTATAGAATATTATGAAAATCAATGCAGAACTGTGAAAACTGGTTCAATTTTAGCTTTATTAGATAAATGGACAAATTTTACAGATAAATTGAGCTAAATTTTATGTAGATTTAGACTTCTTATGTAGACTTCTATCTTAGTCTTAAAAGGCATATGGTCATAAGATTTCTGAAATTCGTTTAAAATTCAACAATTATTTGAAATGGAGGAAGCAGAACAGCCCAGTCTTTTTTGTTCAGCTTATCATCTCGTCAGTTCGGACCCTGCAGAAATAAACCCACCATTAAAAAATCCGATTGGTGCTAGCGAACTACCTTTTAATCGTCAAAATGCGTCACTAACATCATTTGCTTCATAATTAGTAGCATTAAAAACGAAAAAAACAGGAGAGAAATAAAATATATTTAATTAAACTGCGCTAAATGATAAGTTATGAATAAATCATAAACAATGAACTGAAATTAATTTTATGGTAATCTAAATAATTCTGGTATTCAATTTTGCTCATTTAGTAATTAATAATAATAATTAATAAATAATACGAGTAATGAGTTCTTGAGTTTGTTTTATAGATAAATCTCCGGTTTTTCCGGTTTTTATTGAATTACAGACGAAAATATTATATTTTTTATAAGCTATATATTTTATAAGAATTAGTGTTTTACAAATTGATATCTGGTTGTTTCTTTTAA